GATATAGCTGATTCCGTTGCCACTCAATCCAAGCAAACATCAGACACTTGCTGTAGGTTAGTTGTAATAATTTGAAGCAAAGCAAAGACTGATGCAAGATGGGATTTATTATGCCCCCTCTAAGATGATGAATGACTGTCTTGTATGTGTGCACACCTTCATGTTGTGAAAAATAATGTACCGTGAATATGCATACACTGTTCTAAGTAGGACACTTATCCAGATGCATCATGGGAGTACCACTTTACTTTATTGGAGTTTTGATACACTTAGCTTGAAATCTTCTGTTATATTTAAATATTTTACATGTATTTCTACCTTCTGATTTCTGTCACCTACACGTTGAGTTGAAATCATTGTATTGTGTGCCAGTATATATGATACTCACTTTATCTGCATCTTTATCTCCAGGATTCTGACAATGCACAATAATTTAATGAAAAGATATGAAAAAGAAGTAAAAAGCAACACAAGTCACATTGAAACCATTTCAACTCTCAATGTAAGTCGATTGTGATTAATTACATGTACATGTATATGGTATTTTGAATTTGAGCAAGCTCTGTTGAGTTGAGCTGCCAATTTAATTACCAGTCTGATTGCTTTGATATTTCATTCATGCATGTCATTTTAGGCGAATCTCTATTAATTTAATAAATTTAAGAAAATTGTATAATTAAAGAAAATACAACGTATAACAATTAATCCATATTACTATTACATAATTCTATATACCTTAAAAAAATTACATGTCAAGTGAACCTAATATTGTCCCACTTTTGTCTCAATTTGTTGTGGCCTTCCAGATTAGAAATGGCGATGTCTGTCTGGTAGTTATACTTGAATATTGGGAACTAAATCGTTGTTTAATTTTTTTAAGTTTAGAGTGATAAATGTGAAGTTTACAGAGCAAGATCAAATTACCTATCAGTGCCAAGTGTTTATCGTTACCTAATAATATATCTTTTAATGTAAACTGGTGTATATCTATATAGTCAGTTTGGTCTTTAATCCATTTACCAAAAAGTGACCAAAAAACTCTAATGCAATCGCATTCATAAAATAAATGTTCTATTGTTTCCAGACCCGACTCGCAGAATGTGCACAAAACCGATTCTGTTTTTTCCCATTTTAATTTAAAACTATAGTTTGTAGCTAAAAACCTGTGAATGATTTTATATTGAAAGGCTTGCAATTTGGTTTCTTTGGTTATTTTGAATGGTCTAGCAAATATTAAATGCCATTCACTATCTGGCGCGCCTAAAATTGATTCCCATTTATACATGATTTTACTCAGCATTTGTTTAATTCCATTCACTAGATGGTTATAGACGTTTTTTTGAAGGTTTTCCAGTGCAAATAAACTTGTCTAAATATGGATTTTTGACAAGTTCAACATTTTTTCCTTCTTTTTCTGTTTCTGTTTTCCATTTCTTTGGAATTGAAAATAAAGTCAATTGGTATGTAATAAAATCACTTTTCAAGTTATATTGTTGTTGGAACTCTCCATATGACATACATGTAAATGTTCCATCTGGCTTCCCTAAATCATTAACATAGTTTATTCCTTTGTTGTGCCACTTTGAAATAAATATAGTTTTGTTACGTTTTTGAATTTCCCAGTTATACCACAATGTTTGACCCAGACATTCCTTTGCTGTCTTAATTTGTCTAGTACTATCTCTCACCCTGCTCCATATGTTCGTTATTTCCCGTCAAAATTCATTACTAACCTGATCGCATATTGTACGTAGCCCATTGCTCTTATAATTCCAAACAAATTTTCCCCCACAGAAAGCAAACATTATGTTAAACATTTGTTTCCATGGACCAGTGTTCTCCCCAGTATTCAATTTGTGTGCGGGGCCGCCATGCTGCTTTCCCTGCCCGCCACTGTGGTCCCGAGCCGCCACGGTGATTAGTAAGACTGCCACAGTGCTTTTTTCATTGTTCATCCTGTGAACTGTATTACGAAATATAGAAAGAAATACGTAGCTATTAGGGATCTTGCCACGCTTCCGACCAGGACTATTGTCCGACGTACCGACCGACAGGCATCCTGCCAGTCGTGGATTATAATTTGTAAACAATAGACGTAGTCGCACGATGTGGCAGTGGCTTATTTATTTAAAAAATAAAGGGATGAAAGCTCTCTTTGCTTTGAAATT